TTGTCGACGTCTACACCCGCATGACTTGGGTGTACGTGCTGGCCAAGAAGAGCGACGTGGCTGAAACGTTGAAGACGGATTGGTTCCCGATGGTGGAGCGGCAACAAGACCGTCTAGTCAAGTCAATCCGCACCGATCGAGGGGGAGAGTTCCTGAGCAAGGAGTTTGGGTTGTGGCTAAAGAAGAATGGTATTCGGCACTCCCTCACCATGCCATACTCCCCTGCAATGAACGGCATCGCCGAGCGAGCGAACCGCACAATCACGGAGGCGGCACGCGGGTTGCTCATTGAGGCCGGGCTACCCGACTATTTCTGGCCTGATGCGGTGCGGAGCGCGTGTGTGGCCAAGAACAGAGCCTTGACTCATGTGGGAGCAGACAAATGGGTGCCCTATGTGGAGTGGCTAGGAAGGAAGCCAAAGGTGGATATGCTTCGGGTGTTCGGGTGCATGTGCATGGCGCTCGTGCCTAAGCATCTTCGGCACAACAAGCTTGGTGCCAAGGCGGTGTGGGCCGTGCACTTGGGCATGGCTCAAAACAGCAAGGGATGGCTTCTTTGGGACCCATTCACCAAGAAGTTCTTGGTGAGCAGGGACTGCAAGTTCATGGAGAACTTCATGTACAAGGATTGGAAGGCGGAGAATGAGGCGAAGATAGGCGTGCGGTTTGGGGAGGTGAAGAGTTCCGGTTTGGAGCATGTGGAGCTGCCTTTGGAACTGAGCAGCGGCAGCACAACCACAAGACAATCCTCCCTTGTGAATGGGGGAGAGGAGGCCAATGATGCAGAGGAAGAAGAGGAGGAGGTGCAGCAAGTGAGCGAGCGTGCACCGTCACTCCCTTCCCGTACTACGAGTGCTCCACGGATTCGAGCCACACCGCAGCAACGCCAAGGCCTTCAAGTCCCTGCAGCTGAGGAGGAAGGAAGGGGGAAGAGGAGAGTTCAACCCCCTAATAGGCTGACCTATGATGCGCCGGGAAAGCAGGGCAAGACAGCCCTGGCCGGAGCGGCAATGATGGTCGGAGACGACGAGGAGAGTGACTACGAGGAGTGTGCCTTCGCGTTCTTCTCTCCGGTGGAGATGCCGGGAGAACCAGCAACTCTCAAGGAGGCTTTGGAGAGTAGTGATGCTGAGGAGTGGAAGAAGGCCATGGAGAGTGAGCTGAAGAGCATCGAGGAGAATGACACGTTTGAATTGGTGGAGCTACCGGAGGGGCGTACGGCGATAACGTCCAAGTGGCTCTTCAAAATCAAGTCGGATGCCGACGGCAAGATCGAGCGCTACAAGTCTAGGCTTGTAGCCAAGGGGTACCAGCAGAAGGAGTAGGTGGACTTCAAGGAGCTGTTTGCCCCTGTGGTAAAGCCGACGACGCTGCGAACCCTATTCGCGGGAGCCGCCATCAAAGGATGGGTAGTAAAGCAAATGGACATCGTAACGGCATTCCTTAACGGCATCCTTGAGGAGGAGATTTTTATGGCGCAGCCAGAGGGGTTTGATGATGGTAGTGGCAGAGTGTGGAAGCTGAAGAAGGCCCTCTATGGGCTGAAGCAGGCCCCTAGGCAATGGTACATGAAGCTGCGCGAAGTGTTGGAGGGGATCGGCTTCACTCCCTCAACGGCCGATCACTCCTTGTTCATGCTTGGCGAGGGGGAGCAGAGGAGTTTCATGGTGGTTTATGTGGATGACATCCTGATTTTCTCACCCTCTTCTGACCTTGTGAAGGAGGTGATGCTGAAGCTTCAAGACAAGTTCAAGTGCAAGGCCCTTGGTGACGTGAGCTTCTACCTTGGGCTCCACATCGAACGAGATGTGGAGAAGCGGTGCATGCGGGTGCATCAACGAAAGTACCTGGAGGCATTGGCTGCCAACTTTGGGCAGAGTGAAGGCCATGTGGCTACACCCTTTCCCTCTGGGTTCAAGTGTGTGAAGGGACCAGAGGAGGAGAGCGTTGGTGAAGAGGAGAGGCGCCGATTTCACTCGTTGGTGGGCAGCCTCATGTATGCGGCGGTAAACACCCGACCGGACGTCGCGTTTGCTACCGGGCAGCTGGCTAGGGTTGTGCAATGCCCTAATGAGGAGCAGGTAGCAGCTGGAATGAGGGTGGCCAAGTATCTTGGCCAAACACCGACCGTTGGGCTGCAATACTCGGCGGCGGCACAAAGGCGCCAAAAGGGCGCGGATGGTGTTGAACCCGGGCGTTTGTTCCTCACCGCCTACTCGGATGCTTCATATGCATCAGAACCAGAGGACATGACAAGTGTGGGAGGCTTCATATGCTGTGTTGGTGGAGGCCCAACTGCTTGGGAGAGCAAGAAGCAGGTTGACCAAGCTTTGAGCTCGGTGGAGTCCGAGTACATGGCACTCTTCCGTGCCGTACGGGAGATTGTGTGGCAGCGGCGTTTGTTGGCTGAATTGGGGGAGGAGCAGCAAGGACCTACCCCACTGTACTGTGACAGCCAGGGTGCCATTGCTCTTGCTAAGAACCCTGTGTTGCACGGACTCACGAAGCACATGAGGGTGAAGTGGCATTGGACGAGGAGCATGGTAACCGCGGGTGAAGTTGAGTTGCACTACGTGAAGACCACGGGGCAGCCGGCTGACATGATGACCAAGAGGCTGGTGGAGCAGCAGCATTGGAAGTGTTGCAAGCTGGCTGGGATGGCTCTGAACTGAGAGAGCAACATATCCTAAGGCCAACAATCCGAGGGGGAGTTTGTTGGTGCAACCCTACGGTTTGCACTCGGCTTGTTGTCCGTGTGCGTGAATGTGTGTGTGTATGGAATGGTATGAGGGCATGGGATAATATATATTTCATGCTTATAATTGTGTGTGAATGTTGAGTCATGATGTCGAGTGTGTGTGTCGAGTCAATAGCGAGTTATCGCTAGACGCGTGTTACGCGGTCGTTTGTGTCTCGCGCGCGGTTTCTATTTTGTCGTGCGCGGTTTCTATTTTGTCCTGTGTCGAACGTTCGGCGTGTCGCAGGTGTGTGCAGCAGACCCATCAAGAACTCAAGGATGAGTTTGTGATGAAGAGCCCGAGCCTTGGTGTCAAGCCTCAAGTGATTTCGAAGCTTGCCAAAAGGGTACACCTCAAGATATTGAAGATAGTTACATTACTTTGTGTAGTGTAATATTTCACTTGGTGTAGGCCCTAGTGAAGGGTAGTTTCGAGACCCTTCGTGGTTGGGGACAGTGTGGCACTGTTCCACATCACTGTACCTCGGCTCTTGGGGTTTGTAGGAGCTGGGAGTCATTCCCAACTCGTAACTCTTCCTATCTTGTGTTCTAAGACTATAGTGGCTGCCATAGTACCGTTCGTTCAAACCGACGCTGTGTCGTCAATTCTTCATCAAATCGTGCAATCTAAATTGATAATTGTAGACGACGTGAAGACGCTCCAGATCCAATTTGAATCAAGTCATTTGCAGCTGTGAGCAGAACGCTATCAACGTTTGAAGCCGCTGTGCAGAAATCCGTCTGTGCTCTCTATCTTTCGTTTTAGGCACATTCAAGCCTATTGTGACTATAACATGGACTTCGCACGTTCGGCAGACATTCACGACTCCGAGGCTGCTCCGCGTCGCCTTTGGTTTTCCGATCGCCAAACCTGCACCCAACCTCGCATCCCTGAGGTTCCCTCCTAGCTAGGCTAGTCACTATATTAGCACGTGCATTCATTGTATGAGCAGTTTATTGAGTCACAGCCTCGTTATTCGTTATTATGCGCAACTCTGTTTTACAACTCATAACACCTGGTATCAGAGCTACTTTCCTAGTTCACCCCGCTTTTCGAGGGTAGTTTGGTGGCACGGGTTGGCTGGTACAGTGGACTGCAAAACGGTTGGCTGCAAGGTTCGTTAATTCTAACCTGCCCGACTCCGATAGTTTTTGCTTTCCACTCGCCTGAAGGCCACAGATACCCGATTGCCCACCAGACGGAGTGCTAGACTCATGGATCAGGAAGCGGTCAACAGGTTGATGGCGCAAGTGGCAGAAATGCAGGAGGGCATGAAGTCATTAATGACGGAAGTGACAACGCTACGTGGAGAAAACGCTGAGCTACGCCAGGCGCGAGGTGAAGCGCGCCAGGAGTCGCCCGATGAAGAAGGCGAGGGCAACAGTTAGGCAGTGAGCAATCCGTTCAAGGCGCCCACACGTGACTTTGAAGAAGAAGATAGGCAGCGAGCGGTAGCGACGCCAATTGCAGTAACGACGATCAAGATTAAACCTACGAGCCCGCCCCTGTTCAATCCTACGGACAAGAATACTACAGTAAAGGGGTGGCTCTTCGGCGTCGAAGTCTTCTTCACTGCAGTGAACGTCAGCGACTATGCCGTGCGTATTAAAGCAGCGGTATACATTTGGCACTACTGTTTGTTTTGTACAGTGTCTGCACCTTCATTTCGCCGAGACGAAAAAAAACGTGGGGAGTTAGAATGTTGGCGAAAACCTGAGTCACTTTTGTGGTGAAGGAACAAGGGTTGGGTTGGTTGTGTCACAAATATTGAGATGCTCCCGTCATCTCACTCACCTGCCACTCTCACACACAAGTAGAATAAGCCGCTAATAACTACACCAGAGAAAAGAACCCAAGGCGCACGCTGGAGGGCGCTACGCCATCGCGACCACACTCGAAGTCGCGTGAGTAATTAGGCGCGTCGGTTATAAGCATAGGTATCGAAACGACCAGTAAAAGTGTTCGGCGCGTCAGCCTGTACAGCAACTGTCGCGCGCTCCCTTGTAGTCTCGCACGCGCGCCTGCATTCAAAGCGAGCGAGCACAGCGTGCTCCAGCATTGCGCGCTCAGCAGAGCAACGCGCGCCAGCAAAACGCGGGCAGCAAGGGGCCACAAAATATGCATAGCGCGCGTGGGACCACAGCGCATGCAAGTTACACCTCGTGTTCGCCAAGCCCATGAGCCGGCGTCGCGCATAAGAGGAGAGGCGCACGCGCCGTATCGTGCGCCCTGACGCATTCGCACCGTCGCATAACATGAAACATGCCCCTTTCCGCATTCCCCCTTCCGCATTCCCCCTACCGCATCCCCCCTTCCTCATTCCCCCTTCCGCATTCCCCCTTCCACATTCCCCCTTCCCCATTCCCCATTCCAAACTCTTGGTCCCGCATTCTCCCATCCGCATCCGCCTTCCCCCTTCCGCATTCACCCTTCCCCATTTCCCCTTCTGAATTCACCCTTCCGCATTCCCCCATCCGCATTCCCCCATCCGCATTCCCCCTTCCGCATTCCCCCTTCCGCATTCCCCCTTCCGCATTCCCCCTTCCCCATTCCCCCTTCCGCATTCCACCTTCCGCATTCCCCCACCCGCATTCCCCCCATCCGCATTCCCCCTTCCGCGTTCCCCCTTCCGCATTTCCCCATCCGCATTCCCCCTTCCGCATTCCCCCTTCCGCATTCCCCCTTCCCCATTCCCCCTTCCGCATTCCACCTTCCGCATTCCCCCACCCGCATTCCCCCCATCCGCGTTCCCCCTTCCGCATTCCCCCTTCCGCATCCCCCTTTTTCCCCCCCATGCCTCATGTTTCCCCCCATTCTATTCCCATGCCCTCCCTCCCCCCCCAGGCCCCATGTTTCCCCCCTGTAGGCCCCATGTTTCCCCCTGCATCCCCCCTGTTTCCCCCAAGCCCACACGTGCATATTCCCCCCATGCTAGCCCAACCATTTCCAAATGTTAGCCCCATGTTTTGCACTGCAGGCCCCACGTTTTACCCTTGCAGGCCCCATGTTTCCCCCCTGAGACCCTTGTTCCCCACATGCCAGACCCATTTCTCCCCCCTTGATAGCCTCATATTAACCCCGTGATAGCCCCATGTTTCCCCCATGCTAGCCTCATGTTTCCAAGGTTGGGTGCATTGCATGCTGCACAGGTAACTTCACCAGTTTACTCAAAATTCGCCTGCTGGGTGCCTTGCTGTGCATGCCCTTGGCATGTGAGTCGACCCAGAAACGACCTTCCTGAGTGCTCGCCGCACTCCTCACTTCCATCCCTACATTCTCGCGCCGTTTTCCCCATGCTCTCATGATTCCCTCAAGCTATTACCATGATATCCCCACGCTATCCCCATAATTCCCCGGCAGGCCCCATGTTTCCCTCCAGCAGGCCCCATGTTTCCCCCCTGCAGGCCCCCTGTTTCCCGCTGCAGGCCCCACGTTTTCCCCCTGCGCTCAAGTTCATAATTCCCCCTTGATAGCCCCAAACTCCACCCATGCTAGCCCAATCTATACCCAATGTTAGCCACATGTTACCCTCCTTCTAGCCCCATGTTACTAGCCCCATGTTTCCCCCCTGCCAGCCCCAAATTACCCTGTGAAAGCCCCATATTTCCCCCCATGGCTACCCCATTTCCCCCCCCATGCTAGCCTCATGTTTCCCCCCTTCTGCGGGCCCCATGTTTGCCCCAAGCTAGCCCCATGTTATCCCCCTCCAGGCCCCACGTTTTCCCCATGCCTCCCCCATTTCTTCCCCACGTCAGCTCCATATTCTCCCCATGATAGTCGGTTGTTTCCTCGCTGCCATGCCCATGTGTCCCCCCATGCTAGGCACATGTTTATACAAGGTGCTAGCCCCATGATTAGAAGGCACGGTGGTCAGTGCATCGCTGCTCCCAGCAGCGTGTGGAGCGCTCAGCAACAAAAGAACCTCACAGCCCTCACACCCTTACTCCCCTTCCCTTGTCACATCCTCGCTTCCCTCCCTCCCCTCAGCCTTCCCAGGCTGGGTGGTCAGTGCATGAAAGCACTGAGCACCGTGTGGAGCGCTCAGCAACAAAGGAACCTCACAGTCCTCACAAGGGGGTTGTTTCCTCCCATGGCATCCCCATGTTTCCTCCCATGGTAGCCCCCTATTTCCTCCCATGGTAACCCCCTTTTTATCCCCATGCTAGCCCCATGTTACCCCCATGCTAGCCCCACGTTTCCACCCTGCTAGCCCCATGTTACCCCCATGCTAGCCCCATGTTTCCCCCCTACTGCTGGCCCAACGTTAACCCCGAGCTATGGTTCCCCCCTACTGCTGGCCCCATGTATCCCCCGTGCAATGTTACCCCCCCTACTGCGAGCCCCATTTTTCCCGCATGCTAGCCCCATGTTTCCCCCATGCTAGCCCCATGTTTACCCCCTTCTATCCCCGCGTTTTGCCCCTATTTGCCCCGTGTTAAGGTGCAGGATTGCTTGCACACATACCCCTAAGGCACAACTCCCTCACACAAGGCGTCACCTCCACGAAGGCAAGAGGACAAAACCAACGATTTTGCACGAGGTGAGACAGCGGTATTCCTCCCTACCCTGCCCTGCCGTTTCACCCCTACCCTACCCCTTCTGCCCTGGTATTCCCCCGCCACTATTCACTACCTGCTGCGCTCCTCCTTCAGTCCAACTCCAAACTTGCCCTGCCTTTCCCCCCATTGCCCTTGCCTCCCTCCCTACCCTGCCCTCCCTCCCCCCTTATCATGCCATAAGGTACCCCCCTGCTAGCCCTCCCTACCCTGCCCTCCCTCCCCCCTTATCATGCCATAAGGTACCCCCCTGCTAGCATTCCCTTCCCTGCCCTCCCTCCCCCCTTATCATACCATAAGGTCCCCCCCTGCTCGCCCTCCCTTTCCTCTCATTGCCTGCCATGTGTTTCCACCCTACTAGCCCTCCCTTCCCCATCATCATGGCAGTAGTGTACCCCCTGCTAGGCCTCCCTACCCACTCATCATGCAAACAGTTTCCCCCTGCAAGCCCACCCTCTCCCGTCATCATGCCATCGCTAGCCAGCCCTCTCCCATGCGGTGTGTTCGCCTCATCCCATGGGCGGGCCCAGCGCAATCAAAGGGGCTGGCCAGCCCTCTCCATGCGGTGGGCTCGCCCCATTCAATACTTGAAATGCATAGGTTGCTAATAATCAATTTGGGTGCATGGTGTGCAGAATGGGTCGTCCGAGAAAGATCTCCTCCGAAACATGGAGATCAAGGGTAAAAGAGATTGTAAAGGGCAAGGACCAGGCAAGCTTCACGATATCAAAGACGATGCAAATTCCAATTTGCTACTTGCGGTGTGGTCTAAGCTCGCTGATGGGTGAGGGTCGAACCGCGACAGTGTCCGACTTGGTGTACTTCCCTTTGCACGCTGGGTCAGGAGCAAAAGATGCGCTCATGATGGCAGCAAAAAAAAGCTTGTGAGTGGAGTATTCCATGCCATGGTGTTTTAGAGTTTGTTTGAATGAACCCAACCCCCGTCTGTATTAGGGGAACGCATGTTGCCGACACTCTGACGTTGAAACCACGATTGGTCAGGTGCGGATGGTGAAGAGGCACAAGGGAGAGTGGAAGCGTATTTGGCGAGGTTTTCTGAAAAAAAATCAAGATAGACGGGATCGTGCAGCTGGTCGGCCCGAAGTGTTGATGGAAGGGCAACCTATCGCAATAGGAGGCCTGGTTTACGCGTTCCCTGCATTTAAGGGGAAACGTCCTGCGCGCGCAGGGGGCGGGGCGGCGGTTGATGGAGGGACGGGTGCGGACCATGATTCGCCAGATGCAAATCAGCCACAGAATGGTATGTGTGTGCGCCATCTAGTACAGCACGTTTTGAGGTGCGCGTGTGGGAGTGCCTCCAATAACACATTTCTATCAGTAATGTCACGTTTGGAACCAACAGATGACCCGAATGACGTCTCAGCATCACGGAATGAGAGCGACATCGTTGTTGAGGGGTGCATGGAGCAGCGAAAGGTGGTGATCGACATAGATCCGCGTGTCCCTCCTCAAGGAGGCGATGTTTCTGTCACGGTGGATCCTGAATGTGGAGGCCTGAGTGGATTGCCGGCAGGAGTCACGCATGTGGATACTACAGACAATGCCGATCCACAAACCCATGCGGGGTAAGATTTTGTACGGCCTTGTAGACTCACCTTATTGCACTCCATGTCCCCAAATATCGAGCATACTTTATCAAATGTTGCGCGAGCAACCTACAGTACCGGTTTACTATTGATGTCCACAATTACACCGTCATCTATTTTGCCATCAACCCGGTTGTTCATGTGTGTATTCCATTGTTTTTTTAATGTCAACAGTTCATTGATCCAGGAGCGCACACGTTCATGACAGTTACTCCGAGGCCAGAGTTGGATGCGTTCTGCTCAACCAACCCTCACTGGGCTTCGCGATGTCGTATGCCTGCTGAACCCGATCCACCTCATTCGTTTTTTCATGGTTATGACTCTTCATTGCACTGCGAATGGCGGTTGTGGTGGATCCATGAAGCTACGCTCTTGGAAACTGGTGTGGGATGTTCTCGGACTGGTGTGGACCTGCGATAGGTGTGGAAAGTCTATTTCGGTCTGGTCTGTCGATCGCAAGCCACCACCGAGCGCTGCAGACAAGCCTGGCCGGAAAAGTTTGCCGATGCTGCAACGGTTCCTCACATCTTTCGCACTTGCAGGTTTCGGTTACCAGGCTCTGTCGGAGGTAGGCAGGAATTTGGGTGTGCCAATCCCGTATAAGAAAACGTTTTACAAGTACATGAGTGGGGCGGGTATCTGTGGGAAAAGATTATTGATCATGCTACGAGGTGTATGGAAAAGGCACGTGAGTGCATGCTAGCTCGTAAGGAGAGCGGTTATTGGATTTGCGTGGATGGTAGGTGGGGTCAGGTACGAGAGGCCGAGTGGTGCAGCATCACATTTATGGATCCTTTCACGCGTAGGATTATACACTGTGTGACACTACCCAAGACCGAAGAAGGTGTGTCGTCGACGCAACTAGAGAGAAGGGCTTTTGAAAGGGGGTTGGAAGACTTAAAAAAGTGGGGGTTTCCTGTGAAAGGTATCATTACTGACGAGGGGACGAGTTTCAAGGTTGGTATTCTTGGTACAGGCATTGAGCATCAGATGGACATATGGCACAAAGGTCGTTTGTTGTCACGAAAGTTTGTCAAGTTTTTCGTGGATGCCCGAAAGGACACGATCAGTGCCATTGAGGCAAAGACCATTGAAGATTGGTGGAATGTCAAGCCGGATGATATGCGTGCCTGATTGAAAGTTCATGGAGGTTCAGGTCTCAAATGTATAAACAAAAAAAACCCCTAAAATAAAACTCATAAAGGAAGTGTGTCGAGTGAGTGGTATCCAGTACGTGGATTTGTCTAAGGATGATTCGCCGTGGATGTACCCTGAGATGCGACGAGTTACACGTATACGTCGCAAACACGGCAAAAGCATGGCGGCCACATCAACAGCCTCCCGCACGACTTGTCCCGACGGGTCGTGCACAGAGGGCGGGGAGAGGGTGGAGAGAGTTGACGTTCCGATCACTCAGTCAAATGAAGAGAGCAGAGACAAGAATGATGCGACGACAGAGAGCTTTCTCACTCGTGAGAGCTGTTCCGACTTTGTTGCTATTGACATTATGGAGACTGCAGTCGATCTCGGTCGCATAGATTTGCATTATTTGGATGTTAGAGAGCCGTGGGGATACGATCCACATCCTGAGCATGGAGTGCGGCCTTGCTCGGTGGCATCTTTCTTCATCATGCAGGCCTCTGCGGCGCGCCACGCCGACGCGACTCGTGGCATGGTGGCCGCCTCACCGAGACACAGATTCAGTGCCGATGAGACTGGTGAGATGTTTCACATTGCAATGGTGTCCGCAATGCTATTCCATCCAGGTTGTGATACATATGATCAATAAGCGCATTTGCACATGAGTCTTCAGAGAGCAATTTCGAAGACCCTACCCCCTTGTATTGTTATGCCCCTCCCACCAGGTACAAATGGATCAAGTGCAGCTGTTGGAGCAGACGGGGGTCGAGGGACCACGGAGCACGCTCGACGCTGGGTGGATAGGGGCTCCCGTGGCAGGAAGAGGAGTGGGGCGGGCGCTGCAGTGCAAGAGGAGGTTATGGAAGATCCGGATGAGCTGATGGAGGAGGTGACAGTGGCGCAAAGGTTTAGTGTACACTTCCATCATGTGATGGCACGATGCGCGTTACGCTGGAAACAGGGAGTCCCAATGACTGCTAAGGATGTGGCCAAGGAGATTGGGAGTGCAGCTGATCATTGGGTTGGGGACCATTCGCGTTGTGGTGGGGGCACAGAGACTCCTAGATGCGTGACTAATAACTGGGGACCAGAGAGTGTACTGTACCAACATGGTTCTCGTACACATATCGCATTCAAGGAGTGGCTAGAGGAAAACTGTGGGGAGGCGGAGATGAGACCATATGTTCATGGGTCTTGCAATTGGATGAATGAATCATTTCATTCACTGATATGCAAGTATGCTCCGAAACGCACATTGTTTCGTGGAAGCATGAGGGCACGGGTTGGTCTTACCGTGTTGCATTGGAACCATTCATTGGATAGGGAGGTTCATGCAACCAAGATCAGGATGATTCGAGTTACCAGGGTGCGGCGTGTTAAGAGCTCGCGGATCTTAGGGCCTATGAACTGGAGTTGGGTCGACGACATAATGCGAGAGTGGAATTGCATGACGCCTACTGTTTCAACGGACCCCAGGCCTGACACCGCTACCCCCACTGCACCGGCGACACCCGAGCCCCCTACGAAGCGGAGGCGTACCAATGAGGGACAACCCTCCAGAGCCTCGCGATCCTTGCTTGGTAAGTCAATGGGGGTACATTTCGTCAATATTTTTCGTCTCGTAACACTTACTAATATTGCACATGCACATGTATACTCACTGATTGCAGGACCCTTGACCAATGTGCGATGACGTCAAGGCAAACAAATCATTTGAGGGCTGCCATCCGTGTGTGAGTTTGTTATCTCAAAGTGTGTGTGATGCTTACAAACTTCGGTACGCAACGTCACTAGAACCTCCTGCATGGTCAACCCCGTTTCCCTCTGCTGGTATGTTCTTCCCACTTGCAAAGGAAGCAGCTACTCTGCCGGTGCACGTACCCTCCTCCCTCCGTCCTGCTCATCTCCCCGTCAGTCAACCATCACATCGCGCCCCATTCGATCCTAATGCAACCTTGACCACCACGCTTATCCACACTCCACCCCATCCGACCCCGTAGTATCATCAAGTACAAGGCGATCCAGCCGGTGGCAGGAGGGGAGGTGGCGGTGGGGATGGAGATACTGGACGGCGAATGGGAGGTGCTGCTCAACGCGCTATTGGGGGGCATCAGGGGCGCTGTGCTCTCGCCCCCTCCCGGCAAGCGCCACCTCTCCGTGATTGGCTCTGCCAGGACGGTGGAGCTGGTGGCATGGGGGGACTGCGCGAGTGGCGATGGTGTGGATGCGAATGCAGCCAATCAGAGTGGCGGTTCTTCTACTGGCCGTGAGTTTGGGAGTGAGCATGATAGGGTGCGTGGTGGCATGCATGGTGGTGAGCACGATGGGGTGCGTGGTGGCATGCATGGTGGTGAGCACGATGGGGTGCGTGGTGGCATGCATGGTGGTAAGCATGATGGGGTGCGTGGTGGCATGCATGGTGGTAAGCATGATAGGCTGCGTGGTGGCATGCGTGGTGGTGTGCGTGATGGAATGTATGGTGATGTGCATGGGGGTGTGGGTGATGGCATGCATGGTGGAGTGCATAGTGTGGTGAGTAGTGGGGTGTGCATGGTGGCATGCATGTTGGCATGCCAGTTGGCATGCATGGTGGTGTGCGTGGTGACATGAATTGTGGTGAGAGAGGTGGTGTGCGTGGTGACATGCATAGTGGCATGGATGGTGGCATGCATGGTGGTGTGCGTGGTGACATGTATGGTGGTGTGCGTTGCACGCATGCATGGTGGTGTGCGTGGTGGCAAAGCTTAGCGCTGCTGAGGAGACTTTCACGAATGCTGGGAGTATTTGTCGACTGAGTATATACAATCTGTGCAGTCACAATATGGAGGCCGGTTAGTGGCAACGTGTAGCATTGACCAGCGTGTGATTGTTCTATCAAAGCATACAAGAGCGCATCTGCATGACAAGGTCCCCCTTCTCATTCTCCCGTCCTCCTCGGATCCTTTCTCAACCCTCCTCACAACCAGCCCAATAGATTGCGATTTCAATCCTTCATGCCTGCTCTCACCCCCATGCAACATGCAAACCATCCCCCTCTCCTCCTCTCCTCGTTCCCCCAGCCCCGCCCCATTCTTCCTCATACCATGCTCACCTCGACGAGTCTCCCTAAACCCTCCTCCCTTTTCTTTTCTCACTGTTTCTGCCTCCTTCCTGTTGGAAACAATTGATTTAGTGCCTCTGTCGTGTCGAAACACCAAGTCAGAAGCGAAGCGAAACATATCAAAGCATTAGCGAGTCAACCCTCGGAGGTTGAACAGCTGCTGGAGGTTACGCGAAAGTCAAAGGTCAGCGACCTTTGACCTGACAAGTACAACGCGACAGCAAGGACAAACAACTGACTCGCTATTGAGCAGTTGTTGCCCGAGTCATCACTGTATCGAACCGCAACAACAATACTAAAACGGTTATTAACTGTATCTCTTCGTATTCCTTGTACTCGTATAAAAGCTTGTATCTCTTTGTTTTAATCAATCTACTTTGCCCACACATACCAGCGCAAGGTGGTTCACAAACTTCTCATTAAACGCTTCCGCTATTACATTATTCCTACTCAGAGTTTAGTCCTGCAAAGATCCTAAGGGCTTTTCTCAGCCCAACATGGTATGAGAGCTATCAGGACAAATTCAACTACAATCAAGACACCTACAACATCACAAGGCATGGCAACGCAGAAGGAGAGAAGCTCCTCTAACGGCTCTCCCGGTACTACTCCTACTCCACCTCCTGCCTCTGGCCTACAGACAGAGGAGGGCATAGCAACAAGACCGGCAGCTGGGTCTACCGAAACTCCCGCAAATCAAGCCGCGGCCTTCGACCCAGACATGATGGAGAAATTCTTCTCCTTCATGTCCTTCTACGAACAACACCAGCAAGGAGCACCTGCGCAGTCAAACAACAGTAACAACAACAACGCAACACCGATGAGCCTCGACGGTTCATCCTACGCACGAGGAAATCAGCAACAACAACCTACCTTCGCCCCGTACGAACCTCAGCGCGGTTCCGTCAGCTTCATGCCGCGCCAGCAGCCGTCACCTGAGCAAGAGAAGACACTAGATGCACTGCAAGTTCAGTCGCAGTTTGCGCACGTCTTAAAACTGCAGACGTCAAGACCGTTCGACGGAAAGGACTTCTTTACCTGGTCATTCGAATTCGAACGGTCATTCAAGACCGTTCCAAAGCCTGCTGCGGTCTTACACACCTTCACCCTTGACTCGGGCGCTTCCCGCTCCTTCTTTCGAGACCGCACCACAATCACGCCGCTTAGTCGGCCGGTTGCAGTCTCCCTGGCAGACCCCTCTGGGGGTCCTGTACTTGCCCACTACTCCACTGTCCTACCGTGTCCGGCGGCCCCCTCTGGCTCCCTGTCAGGTCTTTACCTCCCCTCGTTCTCTACGAACTTGGTGAGTGGTGCTGACCTACAGGATGGAGGGGTTGACCAGTTCACTCCTGCGAGTCAGCGAGTGACCCACTGCACGTGTGCTCGGACGGGCCGACACTTGGCCACGTTTACCCGTCAGCCGGGGTCGAGCCTGTACACACTGACTACCGAGTCTCCTCCGGTTGCTGCGTCTGGTCAGGTAGCTGCGTCGGGTCAGGTGTTTGCTGCAGCGTCTCGGTCTGGTCCTGAGTCTGCCCCCTGCTCTTGTCGCCTCCTGTCCCACCAGACCCTCCTCTGGCATCACCGCCTTGGTCACCCCTCCCTGCCTGGTCTCCGAGGCATGGCCTCCCGTTACCTTGTCTCTGGTCTCCCCCGGTCCCTACCTCCCCTTCCTCCGGGGCCTGCCCCTACCTGCGTTCCCTGCGTCGAGGGGCGACAGCGCGCCGCTCCTCACTCCTCCGAGTTTCCTCCGATAGAGGCTCCGCTGCAGACTCTCCACATGGACGTGTGGGGCCCAGCCCGCGTCCGTGGACAGGGTCACGAGCGTTACTTCCTGCTGGTGGTTGACGACTTCTCGCGTTACACCTCAGTCTTCCCCTTGCGCCGCAAGGGTGAGGTCACTGAGGTGTTGATCGACTGGATCCGCGCTGCCCGTCTCCAGCTCAGAGAGAGTTTCGGCTCGGACTTTCCTGTCCTGCGTCTGCACTCCGACCGAGGTGGAGAGTTTTCCTCCGACCTTCTGCGAGCCTTCTGTCGTGCGGAGGGCATCCGCCAGACGTTCACGCTTCCGGCCTCTCCACAGCAAAATGGGATTGCTGAGCGCCGCATTGGCATGGTCATGGACGTCGCTCGTACGTCCATGATCCATGCGGCTGCTCCCCATTTTCTGTGGCCGTTCGTGGTTCAGTACGCGGCGCATCAGTTCAACCTTCAGCCCCGGGTCTCCATGCCGGAGACCTCCCCTACTCTGCGGTGGACGGGGAAGGTTGGCGATGCGTCTGCGTTCCGTGTCTGGGGATCTCGAGCTTTCGTCCACGACTTGTCTGCGGACAAGCTGTCCTCCCGTGCTGTTCCCTGCGTCTTCCTTGGCTTCCCCCCTGACGCGCCTGGTTGGCAGTTTTACCACCCCACCTCGCGCCGTGTTCTGTCCTCCCAGGACGTCACGTTTGACGAGTCAGTTCCATACTACCGTCTCTTTCCCTACCGCGCTGCCCCCCTCCCCCCCCCGCCGCTCTTCCTCGCGCCAGGTCCCCCCCCGGTAGACCCCCTCCCCCCTCAGGGTCCTGCCCCCTCAGGTGTGTCCCAGGTAGACGCAGTCGAGCCTGTCGAGGTAGCTGTTGACTCTGGTGCTGCTAGGGGTGCTGAGCCTGGGGGTGCCGGGTCTAGGGGTGCTGAGCCTGAGCGTGCGGAGCCTAGGGGTGCTGAGTCTGGGGGTGCTGAGCCTGGAGTTCCTGAGTCTGGGGGTGCTGAGCCTGGAGTTCCTGAGTCTGGGGGTGCTGAGCCTGGAGTTGCTGAGTCTGGGGGTGCGGAGCCTGCGGGAGCTGGGCCTGCTCGTGTGGAGTCTGGCGGTGCTGGGCCTGGAGGTCCTTCGTGTGCTTCGTCCCGGCGGGAGCTACTCTCTCCACAGGAGCTGCGCGAGTGGTTTGCTCGGCGCTGGAGCCGTGCTGCTGGAGCTGGTGGTGCTGCCGGTACTGGAGGTTCTACTGCTGCTGGGGGTGATGGAGCCACGGGTCCCGGAGGTGCTCGTACTGGAGGTACTGGAGCTGCTGGGCCTGGTGGTGCTGCTGGTGCTGGAGCTGCTAGCGGAGCTGGAGCTGGCGGTGCTGCTGGAGTAGGTGCTGCTGGGGGTACTGGAGCCGGGGCTGCTGCGTCTTCCGGTGGTCCCGCTGGAGCTGGAGCTGCTGGAGGTTCTGGAGCTGCTGGAGGTGCTGCTGGAGCTGGTGGTGCTGCTGGAGTTGGAGCAGGCGCTGGGGGTGCTGGTGTTGTCCCTGCTGGTTCTGGAGGCGCTGCGCGGCCGCGGCCGTACTTCGTTCCGCTCCTTGAGCAGGTTCTTGGTCTTCCGCCTTCTTTTGGTCCTGCTCCTTCCTTAGAGTGTCCACCGCCTGTCCAGTCCGAGTCACAGATACAGCTGGCCTCCCCACTGCCTGCTCCTTCTCCCTACACTGGTCCTACTGGAGGTCTTGCTGAGCGTCGTGAGCCTGAGTCGCATCCTGCGTTGCCTGTTCGTGCTGCTCGCACTGGTCGTCGTGTTCCACGTCAGCGCCCTCCTGCGGTCCCGGGCACGCACCAGATGGCACTGCGTCCTTCCACTGCTCCACTGCGTGTCCCTTTGCCGTCTCCTCCTGAGTCATCTCTTCCTGCTCTTGCTGACCCGGCGTCTAACTCCCTTCGTGCTGCCAGTCCTACTATCACGCGTCTCTTGGCTACTGTTGTCACTGACCCTTTTTTTGAGTCCACTGCTGCGTCTGCCTTTGTTGCTGAGCTTGTCGACTTCGCTGCTCACTGTCGTCTAGACTACGCCGCGAGTCTTGTTGCTGAGTCTAAGTCTGTCTGTCCTTCGTCCGTCGGGGGTGAGTGTGCTCTTAGCATGGACGTCCTTGAGGACAGGCAGGAGGAGTTCCAGTGCTTTGCTGCTGCTTTACCTCATCTCGTGTCCATGCTAGTTGCCCCTGAGGGAGACCCGGATGCACCAGACATCCCGACCCCGCGCTCTTACGCAGAGGCGATAGAGGGTCCCTACTCCTCTCAGTGGCAGTCAGCCATGGACGCAGAGATGGCTTCCTGGAAGTCCACAGGCACCTACGTCGACGAGGTTCCCCCACCTGGGGCGAACATCGTCAGTGGCATGTGGATTTTAAGGGTGAAGCGGCCGCCGGGTTCTCCGCCTGTCTTCAAGGCGCGTTACGTGGCTCGAGGCTTCAGTCAGCGGCAGGGAGTTGACTACTTTCAGACCTTCTCTCCCACCCCGAAGATGACCACTCTTCGGGTGCTGCTGCACATAGCCGCTCAGCGCGACTACGAGCTTCACTCTCTTGACTTCAGCACTGCTTTCCTACAGGGCAGCCTGCACGAGGAGATCTGGCTGCGCCGCCCACCTGGCTTGACTGGGTCGTTTCCTGCAGGTACCCAGTGGAGCCTCCGGCGGCCAGTCTACGGTCTCCGCCAGGCGCCTCGTGAGTGGCACGACACACTGAGGACTACACTTGCGGCACTTGGGTTTGCTCCTTCT